TGATATCGGCATGTTATCACTATTTGGGCAACGAAGCCCGCCCATGCCCAGCCCAAAATGGTTAGGGCTTCTATGGGCAGGACCGGGCATCGGGCAGGGGTCCTGTCTTGCCCAGCCCTGCTCATGTGCACCCTTACATTTCACCATAACATTATTGAATTAAAAATCAAAATAAAATATCTTTTGAAATTTAAAATTCCAAGAAGAAAGGTCAGAAATGATAAAATCTTTAAAGCAATTAAGCGTAACATTCCCCTTTGAATCACGTTACCAAATTTAAAATGAGATGATGGTATGAGGACTGCAATATAAGTTTTCTTGAGTTTTTTGAAGTTTTAGTAGACAAACTAAAAAACGTAATTAATACAATAAATATGAATCACGTTACCAAATTTAATTTGCCCTTGATGCAATGCATTATTCACATTATCCGTGAATAAGAATTTAAGAAAAACATGTAAAATGAAGTAACAATGAAGAAAGTTGAAATTAAACTGAAACAACGTGCGGCTAGAATCAGTTTAATTACTAATTTCAATATAGCTTATCTAATGCCATATTTTTCGTTAAAGAACTAAAAGTCGATATCACTCGGAATGAAATGAAACTCTGATAAGTTATGTAAAAACGTGATTACTCCTCTGATCCTATTTATAGGACAGAAAAAAAAGGTATTTTTTAGCCCTATTTACAGGTTACTGAGAGAAATTTTTTGTATGGATATATAATTTTACTCTCATTTATTATTGTTTTGATTTTGTTTATATGAGGTATAATATATATTAAATAGGGATAAAGTTATAAAGTTATTAAATTTTAAATGAGAGGTAATAAAGTTTAAAATTTTTTTTGATCTGTATGAAAATGATAGAAGTGTTTTATAAATAGGACTAGAAGAGTATTTGATAATTCAAAAATTGTGGTCTGGGTTTTCTTATTTTCAGAAACTCTCGTTCTTCGAGAAACATTTTTTTCCTCTACAAGATCATACATATGTCATTTATAAAGAACAAGAACTTGATATTGTATTCGTGGGTCGCGCGCGCGCGCGCGTTTCCAGGGCGAAAAAAAAAAAATGGTCCCAAGAGGTCAAATATCATTAACATCATCATCTACTTCCACATATCACCGCAGATGTTCAATATATGGACCTGAGATACCAACTTTATAAAAACTTCTCCATTTTACAAATAATCAATACTGTACTACTCGATTAAACTAGCTATAGTACTTGATATATAAGAGCTTAGATAACTAAAAAAAATTAGTCAAGTTAATTATTTATAATAAATAGATTTTATTTTCGCTAAAATATCTTTGTTAATAATATAATTAGAATGAAGAATTTTTAATATATGCTATCACCATGTGGATTAGAAAAAACCATTTTGCATAGAATGAAAAAATTTTAATACATGCTATCACCATGTGGATTAGAAGAAACCATTTTGCAGCTACGTATAATTTTTCTTAATTTTTAATTTGATACTTCTGTGTTTTTCTCTTCTAAATAAACACTATCTGTTAGTATAATTAGTTTTTATAAAGGGGCTAACAATACTAATAGAGCAAAGTCTCAGAAGCTAACTTTACTAACAAACTAAAATTAGAGTATTTAATTAAGAGAAAAAACACATAAGTATCAAATTAAAAATTGAGAAAAACTATAGGTACCTGCAAAATGGTTTTTCCTGAGAACTACTTGACAAAAAATAAATAAATATTGGAGATAGAGTGAATTAAAGTTTTATTTAAGATTAAATTAAAGCTCCAACTAGCTTTTATATTTAGAAATAGAGATAGTATAAATCAAGCCCTAAATATAAGAGTTAAGTGGGTATGTTTGGATGAAACCAAACCATATTTTGGAGAATAGATTTTGTGAAAAAATGATTATGATAAAGTGAGAGTGTTTGGATAGTTGTTATCAGAAGCACTTTTTATATGTGCAAATTAATAAAAAAACATAAATTAATATGATAATTACATAAAAGATAGATTTTATAATATATTTTAATTTGAAGGAATAAAATTGTTAATAATATATTTTTTACCAACATAATTAATAATATATAAGATAACGTAATTAATAAATAATTAATATGTGTATATATATTTATAGAATATAAGATTAAATATGTTTATAAAAAAAATAATTGATGGGTGTTAAAATCATATTATCGTTGAGATCTACTCTAACAGGTACTTTAAAATTCTCCAATTTGAATCAGAAGCATAATGGATTTACTACTTCTAAAATCATGTTTCAACCGAAACCATGGTTTCTCCATAATTGTCCCTGACAATCTCTTTCCCCAAATAGTTTGGGAAAAGAGACTACCACACAGGGATAATTTTGAAGAAATCATGGTTTGTTCCCATACCACAGGGAGACACCCAAACAGGCCTTTTTAAACACAAACCCAAGCAGATATTCTTGAGTTTATCACTGTCGTTGCCGCATGAATGCTTTCTTATTGTAGAAACCCTTGGAAAGATGCAAATTCGAGGGATTCAGTATGACTTTTTAACTGACAGGTGTCAGCATAGACAGGAAACAAAAGCGGTCGGATTATGTTTTCTTGTTCATATTGGACTATTGAGAGGGCTTAATCGACGTTTTGTAGAGTTTATTATCGAGCTTTGGGTCAGATCTCCATGTAAAGAATATGATTGCTGGAGTTAATGTCAGGATTTGTAGTTTGTTTTGCCCTGTATTGGTTAAGACAACGATAACAGGGCAAAAGGTCTCCTCATTAAGAGTCTTCTTTGTTTCTCGTTTGGTGCATGGCTTCTGGTCTCGCCGACAACCATGTTTGAAACACCCCTCAAGCGACTGAGTAGTCCCATTCTTTCTTCCCTCTTCATCAGCAACTTTGATCCAAACTTGCAACTTCAATTACAGTATATTTAAATTGTTTAATTTTGTTTGAATAAAAATTGATCTAACGTCCAAAGACCTGATAGGTTAAAATTGAGAGCTTGCTAAGGGCATGAGAAATGATAGTAGCTAGGGGTAGCAAGCATGGGCGGCAAAAACAGAAGAGTGTGAAAAAACTAAAAAAATAATAATACCACCAGGACGGACCCGAACAGGACTGCTGGTCCTATTTTTTGTCCCATCCTGAAAAACTTCGGGAGGAACCAACTTTGAACATTCCTAATTGATATGAGTATTTTAGAAGAGATAATATACATTTGTTATTAATAACTAATTTAACTAATTTTTTAATATTTATAAATTAATTATCCAGTTTTTATGTTAAGGATCAAATGTAGTTCATATATTTAATATTTACTCCTCCGGTTTTTAATATAAAACCTATTTAACTAATTTGATTAAATTAAGAAAGTTAGATAAATTAGTTAATTATAAGAAATGTGACACGTTTTTCTTAAAATACCATAATCATCTTTCTTAATACCCTATCTTCCTCTTCTACTTAATTATGGTTGAGGGAGTATCCATATAGGTAATTTAGAAAAAATTGATAAATATGAGAAATATGTCATATATTTAGGACCAAACCAACTCAACAATTGGATTCTATATTAAAAACCGGAGGAGTATAAAGGTTAAAGTATAAATTTATCCTAAATTTTTTTTTATTCAGAAGTGATGGACACCCAAAAATATAAAATCATAATAATTCTGCCTCCGCTGAAAAAAATGTTAACACTCAACATTAATTTTTTTTAATGGAATTACTATAATTTTTTTTTCCGCATCCAACATTGCTGATCGAAAACTTCTCAAACAGGTGACGAGGGAGCTTAGTTTTTTGGCTTTTGTTTTCTTGATTAGGCTATTGTAGGATTATTGCTTTGTATCCAGTATGTAATTCGAAAAAAAAAAAAAAAACTTCTCAGACAAATTTACACCAAGGGCATCGACCGTGGCGAACACACGAGGTAGATATAAATAAACAAATTGATACCTCACAGGCTCATACAGGTAGCAGCACCGTCATGATGACGTGTAATCACACGTAATCCAAGCGTGGGGCAGCGTCAGCCACGATAACTATACACGTGGCTCAAAGACAGCCATCCGCGTGTCAAGGTTGATGGAGCTGAGCTGGTATATTTCACGAGACCAATCAAAACCTCAGAGGACATTAGCCCACTAAACAAAGGAAGTACTCGATGGAGCCAACCCAATTTTATCACGGAGCGGGGCCCACACCCGAATTTGGTCACCCACGCTCATAAGTGGGAACCCTAACCACCATGATATCAAATAGACAAATATCCCCACATACAGATATATGAAGGGGCAAAATGAAAAAGTTAGTACCCTACCAATATCATGAACACAAAAATAATACTATTTTGCTTCTAAATATAACAACTATTTTATAGTATAAGTTACATTATAAAATAGATTTTATATTTATTATAGAAGTAATTCAATATAATATTCAATATTTTTATTGATTTTCATAATACTATATCTAATAATTTTCACATTTTTTATATTCATTGACCAAAAAAACATTATATTCACAAAAGCCCTCAAAATATATTTTATGCTTGTAATAGTCGGAACCTTTTTCTTTCCCCATATTTTTTTTAAAAAAATTCTTATTAAAATTTTTATTGATAATAGAAATTCGATAAACTTTTATAAAAAAAAATGGTACTCTCAGCAACATTTTACAGAGTAATGATATTTTGATTTATATTATTCTTTTTGATGCTAGGCTTTTTCCTTTTTTTTTAATGTTTTTTAATATACATTACCCCTTAAAAACCGTTACCCGTGCAAGACAGGACCATATTTCTTTTGGGCGCGTTACTTTTTCCCTCACAGGGCTCAGGTCAAGAGACTGGAAACGATTGGGTGAGAGAGTAAAAACAAACTTAAAATCCGTTCGTACCCATATTGTAATCAGTAACCCCACCACAAAGATGAGCACATTTGTATTTGTACAAGCAGGCAATATGAAAGATCAAAAAAATCCTTTTGGGAGTGGGAGGGAGGTGGGTCTTCTTCCAAAGTTTCAGTAATCATGCCCACCTTTCCCTTCTCTTTCTCTCACCGATTCTCGCCGGAACTTACTGTTTCTCTGCAAATCCACCTCCCAAGCACATCACTTGGTGCTTCTATTCCATTGCATTACCACTTATGAATCTCTCTCCCTTCATCTTCTTCTCGCTTCTGTTCCATTATGGCTCTTCTGAGCCTATTATTCATCTTGGTTACCAGCTTTCGTTGGCAGTTCCGGCGGAATATCATGTGGGTTTCACAGGGAAAGCATATATTATACAGACAAATCAGACCGCACCAAATTTCAGATTAGCCTTAGGGGTTGAAGCCATTGATGGGAAATATTCATGCTCGTTACAAGTTTTTCTGGGAGATGTCAAAGTGTGGGATTCTGGTCACTACTCAAGGTTTTATACAACTGAGAAATGCTTGCTAGAGCTTACCCAGGATGGAGATTTAAGGTTGAAAGGTCCAAAAGACCAAGTGGGATGGAAGACTGGGACTTCAGGGCAAGATGTGGAGGTAACTAAAAAACATTAAAAATCACCTATTTCTCAGCTTTTGGTGTGCCTCTTACGTTTTGTAAAGCTGCATAAAGTCTAATACATTGTTTGCTGCTTTGCCTCAATGAAGCAGAGATTAAAGATACTGAGGACGGGAAACCTAGTTCTTATGGATTCATTGAACAAAACAAAGTGGCAGAGTTTCAATTTTCCAACGGATGTAATGCTTTGGGGGCAGAGACTTAATGTGGCAACACGCTTGACGTCTTCACAAGACAACTCGAGCTTTGTCTACTCTTTTGAAATTGACTACAACAGGGTTGCTCTGTACTTGAACACTGATAAGTTGAAGTATTCTTACTGGGAATTCAAGCCTTCCATGAATAGAAATATTACATTCATCAAGTTGGGTTCAAAGGGGCTGGATTTATTTGACATCAAATGCAAGAAAATAGCAAGAATCCCATCCCCGAAGTCTCACCCAATAAGATTTTTGGCATTGAATAATGAAACAGGAAATTTGGGGCTCTATTACTACTCAGATGAAAAGGCTAAGTTTGCTGCCTTTTTCCATGCACTAAACAGCACATGTGATCTTCCTATGGCATGCAGATCTTATGGAATATGTACATTATCTAATGCCTGCTCGTGCATTCAGCTTTCAACAAAGGAAGATGAAGAAAGTTCTGAATGCACTGAGGAAATTTCTGGTGGGTTTTGTGGAGGGAAAGAGGCAGAGATGCTTGAACTAGAGAATGTGGGTAGCGTGCTCAAAGACGACCATACTAAAATGGTTAATATTAGCAAAGAAGCATGTAAAAATTTGTGCTTACAAGACTGTAAATGTGCTTCTACTTTATATTTTAGGAACACAAGCAGCAATGTGCAACAATGCTATCTTTACAGACTAGTCCTGGGACTCAAGCAGTTGGAGAAAGGTACAGGATTCAGTTATATGGTTAAGGTTCCAAAGGGAACAGCTGAAAATAATGGCCAGCATAATTTGAAAAAATGGGTGTTTATACTTGTTGGAGCTATTGATGGACTTATCATTCTAATTGTTGTTGGAGGAGTTGGGTACTGGATGGTCCAAAAGAGAAATCCTACCTTGCATTCTGAGGCCGCCACTTCATGAGCACATGCAATTCCAGGTTCCATTTCTGAGTTTCTCTGTGAAAAAGGAGGATAGAAAAATCATTCAATATACTTGTAAACACAATTTTGGTTGATTACCAGAAACTGACTGAAAACTAACTGAAAACTATTGATGAAGAAGCAATTGTAGAGTATTTGCGAAAATACTCCCCCAAAATCCCTCGTACACTTGTTTGATTTATAAATGATGGCCGCAGGCAATGCAAATGTGTGTTTGCCTGCTTTTGTTTTGCTTTATACTTTTATCCCTCTTTGAGAATCCTATCAATTCTGCAAAAGCACTCCCCGATCCTCTTACATTGCTAAGGGTAAGCATTTAACTTATATGTAGCAAAATTTCTCTTGGAATGCTTTGGCTAGCATGGGTTTGGTGCAGCTGTGACCATCCTTAACATTGCATCTACAATGGAAGTAGGGGCTTTATTTCTTTGAGGTTTCTTCACCAGTCTTAGAAGATTAATTCAATGGCTTTTACTGTTGCTATCTGCAAATTTGTGCCTAAGTTACACAAGTTGACCTCAAACTCAAAACATTGTTCACCAGCAGGTTCAATTAGGATGAAATGAGAACTTTAGTCGAATGAAAGAGAGCTTTTGTACGAGCTACTATGGTCGGTGGTAAGTGGCACTTTCATAGCATTTACTCCTGCTTCATATCATTCCGTGTTAGAGGAGGAAACATCATTTATCTAGCACTGACTGTGAGCATCACGGCTTCAAACAAGAATAATCGAGCAAAAAAAACAAAAAAAAAACAAAAAACTTATTAAATGCTTGTACATCTTTAGTACAATTTATGTGAACTTTACTCTACAACCAGAACCAGACAAGACCTAAAAAGGTGTCCGCACAATGGTTTTAGTGACAATACGTAGAAAAAAATGCATGACACGCTTTTACTTCCATACATGACATGCTACTGTGCCTAGTACAGGATTTACAGAAGCTTTTAGCATGTTACACTTCCATTTTGTCTTAATACAAGTATATTGAGTAAGTTTAAGAGCGTGAAAAGCATCTACTTCATTTACTGGAAATAAACTTGTTTATTTTCTCATTTAAACTATCTAAACATAGCTCTGAGATTCAGAGCAAACTCTATCCTGAGTTCCTTGTAATGCCTGTTCCGGCTGTTCATATTCAACAAAAAGGCGTTGACAGCTCTGACACGTCTGGAAAGGAATAACCAGGTTTACTGAAGGCAACCATTCAAGCAAACTGAGGCAAGTACAGATATGAATTGCTATTAATAATGGTATATTACTGTCTGTATAGCAGAAAATTGATATTTTAATTGAAATATTGTGTCCTGATGGTCATATTCACAGAGTTGGACATATTCCATCGTCATTATCTCTGGTAAGGTTGAATTTATGAGTAATTGAGTACGATCCTTTAAACACACAACTTTAATATGACAATCCACTGACATTGAAAGCAACAATCGTATAAATAGTCATCAATAAGATCGGAGAAAGTCTAATATCGAGGGTAACTGGGTCCATTCCCTTATATATCCACACATATGGATACATTGACACATGCATCTTTTAAAAAAAAAAAATGCAAATGGTATGACTGGATAAAACTAAAGATAGACAGCATCCGAACATTGTCAGATACTTCAATCAACAATCACATTTGTAAATCTCTACAAATGCGGGTCTCTTGAATGTTGATCGTAAGAAAGAAAATTGAAATTCTCATTTGAAGAATCTAGGCATACAAAAAGAAATGATGATAGAGAAGAAGGCTGTGGGGGTGGATTTATATAATAACCATGACAGTAGAGGTCATCATCAAGTTAATTACAGCAATTTTGACGACACACAGGCATGAAACTCAGAACTAATATGCAACGAAACGAGTGACATTAGATCTGCAGAAGCTGTGTCCATGGAAATTTATCAATGGAGCATGAGCTCGGTCATAACACATGGACACTGAAGAAAAGCTACGAAGTCATTCACTTGCTGAAACCTCCTCGAATATATTTCAATAATTCGTCCTACCCAATGACAAAATATTGGAATGGAAGTTTCAGTGAAGCAACTCAACTTATTCAGAATCCTGTGGCGGATTTAAGCAAAACAAGTATATTAAAAGATAAAGCACAGCTTCAACTTCCGATATAGTTGCAGAGTGGACAGATTATACTATTGAACACGCCGATGATCAGCGCAATGACAAACACAAGGACAAAGCTAAAATTAAGGGCCAAAAAAGGCATATTCTAGAAAGACGCTAAATTGAAACGAAGGATTAACCTGACAAGCTATCACCGAAAATTTTGGGAGAGGACGAAGAGAAATCACTCAGCATCCACAATGGCGCGATTCTGAGCGGTGGGAACGATGAATAGTGACAGAACGTTCGCCAGTAATATTTGGACACGTCAGTAGAGACCAATTTAGTGGGCCCACGCTCGTTTCGTGACGTTTAGCCTCTTTTTTTTTGAACCACCAGTAGCAATGATTAGCCAAAATTTTTTGGTTTAGCTTTTGTTGATCACATATCCTGATTTTCACTATTTTTTGTTGATTTGTCAGGCAAGGTTCGTGATCCTCATTTCTCCCTTCCTCGCTCTTTAAATTCCTGAAATTATTTTCCCAATTATAGTTTCTGGTTTATTGTGTTTGAATATGTTTTAACATCTCTTTCTTGAATTCTGCGATGAAAATATCTCTTTCAAAACTAGAGTTTCTATAGACAAGAGTTTGCAAACTGAAATTTGGATAAAAATCAAGTATTATAATGTAATTTCTGTTTAGATACTTTTTAAAAAAAATAAATAACTATCTCAGGCTAAAACTTATCTAAACAATACAATTTAAAAACAAGTATGAGCAGTCAACGGCTAGTTGTTCTACCAGTGACGTCGCTCCCCACACTTGAATAAGGCTTTGAGTTCGAACCCACATGTTTGTATTCGTTTAATTGTACTATATCAAAGAAAAAAAAAAACAGAGAGAGAAAAAATATGACAACATGCAAATAAAATAGCTTGTTTGCCATTTTATTTCAAAACCCATCCAAAATCTTTCTTTTTTTGTTTTTGGTTGCCCAAAGTATCCTCCCATCATAACGGTAAGATACTAATCTCTCAGGGTACTGTCAGACTAATAGTACCATGAGAGATCAGTCTCTTACTATTTAGATAGAAGGATATTCTAAACAACCAAAACAGGAAAAACGAACAAACAAGTTTTTGACCAAACCTAGGTTTGGGCCAGCCAAACCCAAATCCAAACAAGCCCATAATCTGCCCTACATTAAGCCGAGATCCACCGACTGTTTAGGCCCATTAATCTTGTTTCCTATATTAGATTTCATTGATGAAGCCCAGCCCTTAAACATGTATGTGTATTTATTTTTTTAAATTCTTTTCACGTTGTAGAATTAGTAAATTATAAAATTTGGAATTTATTATATTTGATTAGGTATAGATTTAATTGAAGGTGCTAAGTATTATTACTAAAACTAACTATACAAGATCATTTCAAAATAAAATAAAACCAATGCGCTAAGGAGAAAAGGACTAAAAGCCTCATAAATATGAGTGATAAAATGGTCCAACCCAGTAAATGGATGAATAATTCTCTGTATTATTACATCTGTCTCACACCCTCAAAATGGTGATAATACAAGTATTTATAGGCCATATGCCCAACGTAGGCCCAAGAAGGGACTGAAACAAATAACTATATCTACTCAGTGAAAATATGTACAACCGAGCCCATAACTTAAACTAATCCTAACTAACACTGTCCTGCAATTTAATATTCCCAACAATGAGAGATGTACCAAATTTCGAAAATGATCTAAAAATAAATAAAATAAAAATAAATTGACTTTAAAATAATTATGTGAATAAAACCATACCTTGTATTGTTAGATAGAAGTATTTACTGTTTAATAATAGGATGAATAATAAATATTATACTCCTCCGGTCCTTATTATAAGACCCCATTTGACTTTTTATTTGGTCCTAATTATAAGACCCCAATCCATTTTGTCTCTTATATTTATGCATTTTTTTCCAAGATAATCCTTCTAATAATGATAGTTTTAGCCAATATACTTAATTAGTAAGGATATTTTAGGAATGACAACACTTATTTATTATAAATAACCAACTTAACTTATTTCCTTAATCTCCTCAAATAAGTCAATTGGGTCTTATAATTAGGACCGAAGGAGTATGTATCTATCAACGATCCACGGGGTTGTGCTCGCTTGACAATAGTCTCAATTTCGAGCCTCGAACATACAGCCACATTAAATATTTATTAAGAAAGTTTTGTTGCCCTTTTTGCTTTAACTCCTGGAACTAGTTTCAGTGGTGGTTGCTTCAATTCTTAGCTAGCTGACTCGAATTAGTTGGGGTCTCATGCGGCAACCCAACAGTGGGTGGTTTGATACAAAAATTAAATATAAGATTTCAATCCACTTTGTTTTATATCTTTTTTCAAAATATGCTTATTAGTTGTAAGAGTTTCTCATCAAAAAATAATTTAAATCATCCAATATACATTATTGAGGATGATGGTTTAGAAATACCAACACACATTTGCGACAATAACTAACTTAGGTAAGTTTTTTAACATCCACACAATAACTATCTAGTTCATCCTTTTTTTTTTGACCAAGTATCTAGTTCATCCTAGTATTATATCTTAACTGCTTAATGCATATTATAGGCACTTCCAAACATGAATGTAGATAGGTGGCGCAATAGCCATAGGCTTTTTATTGTGAAAGGGACTACAAAAGTGCAGTAAGCCCAAAGAAAACTCTCAGTTGAAGAGTCATTTTCATCTTCAACTTTCATGGCAATTTTGTTGCTCCTAGCTACCTTTTGTTCTACTGCTCTTTCCAAAAGCCAATGTTACAACTAATTCAATCTGCTATCTCAACCGCCCACCTTTATTTCTTTCATTAAAAAGAAAATTATTAACAAGTTACGAATTGAAAAGGCCTTTCAAGAAGATGTTAGAAAGTATAATGCAGCCAAATTCTTTTATTAGAGATTTGACACCCATATCTGATCATTGAAAACTATGGCCTCATCTTTCTGCATCACTTGTTTTGTTTGTGTAGCTGCATAGTGCCTCCAAGCGTTTCTTTCTCCTCTTCCTGATCTGTTCAAAGTTTGTCCCAAAAACTTCATTTTAGTGTTTGAAATATTACTCTAATGCATAAAAATAATGTCATTAAACTCGTCATTGGCTTATCACTA